CAACAATGCCAGCATTTAACAGTATCGGGCACACAAATGACCCTCAGTGTATATTTTCTGCTGAGAAACTCAGTCACCAAAAACCTGTATCTTCACATACCCTGTGTTGTTTTGCTTCTATTGCGTTCTGTAGATTCCAAAACACTTCATTTCTAGCTTCTTCCATAGCTTTGCCTTTCCCAGACAAGTTTTTCATTTTTTGCTGCACACTGCAGCCTAGTTAACTAAAATAAGGCCGCATTTACTTTCTGGGAGTGCGCCTAAACCAACTTTTACCCAAGAGTTCAAGGGTCCCAGATCACTAGGCCAAGTAACCTAGGGGTCTTGAAGAAAAAAGAGGGCAGGGACTGGATTCATTTCAGTTTAAAAAAAAAAAAGGCTAAAAACTAGAAACTAGTGGGTCAAGGAAACTATCAATGATAAAACGATTACTTTGATTTCTAACGCTGAATTTTTAAAAATCCCTCTAAAGCCCCTAACTCATCCATGACACTATATGGAATTCATACGTACACAGTGTTGTTAATCACTGTATGCTTTACCAAAGGTAGAAACAACCAGTGCTCCAAACTAACAATACCAACGTCTTAAAGGTCATTAGCAAGTCAAAAAAAAAAAAAAAGCAGCTCGCCAGTAAGAACACAGTTATCTAATGTTCAGTGTTCTATCAGGACAATTAAAATTTTTCTTCTGATACCTAAGTTGGGTTTAATATCAGTCCAAGTTAAGTTATCTTCAACTGTCTAAAATATTACCACACAAGTTCTGAAGACCTTCAAATCATGTTTAATATGACAACACTGTTTTAGTGTCAGAGAAGTGTGTTAACATCTGAAAGCCCAGAAAGTGATAGAATCAAACTTTGACATCTACTCCGAAAGGTATTTGCTCATGCTTTAGATCAGTTCCTTCACTTTACGGAAGGGGAAATGGAGCAAAGTTAACATTTATATTTATTCCACTAATATTGGGTGTGTTGAGTCTATTTTTTTTACTTTTTTCTATATTATATTAACATGGGATATATCCTCTTGTTAGAAATATTTCATAATTTGGGGAGAAAGGAAGTGGCAGAAAGAACAATAAAAACAAGAGTTTTTAAAGATGAAGTTTTCCACCCAGAGAATCACAACTGGGACCAGCTACCCATTTGACATGTCCATCGCGCCGTGCTGCCTCCTGAACCCAAGCCTGGTCAGGGGAAGCCACGTATGCTTTGGTCCTCCTCACATCTCTGAGCCCAGAACTCTAGAACCCCCAACACTAGTCTGGTAGGAGATTTGTCAAGACATTGTAAACAGTTCTCAGAGAACCGAACAAAATCTGAAAGTATTCTGCTCTCACACAACAGAAATAATGGTTATAATGAGCATTTTGCAAAATGAAATAGGAGATGAAACTATACAATGAAACTTCAGCAGATGACTGAGAAGGTACCCCAAGAATGTCTGAGAACAAACATGAGAGCCCAAGATCTGCCACATGAACAGTGGAGCTCAAAAAAAATAAATAAAAGACGGCAACAGTACTTTGTGGCTGTTATGGGTTCTCACACAGTAGCCCTATTGGACGCTAGAAAGTATACTGACAGGACAGTGGTTTACTGGAGACAATCATGGTTTCTCTGGGAAATTCCTAAATTATCTTAGACAAGTTACTTACTCATTCTATATTGTGAATGCTTCCATCTACAAGTTAAGTTGATTAGAACATCTCTAACATTAAGCTATTAAAAACCTCTTCACCCTAATACTTTGTTCTTCCACATCTTGAGAAATCTATAAATAATGATAAAATCAAAAACCTAGTTCCAAAACACCAACTTCCCCATTACTTTGCAATACATGCTATGCCAGGACTCTGCCAAAAACATCAAGTAAGGGCTTTGAAGATTTAGTTTAGAATCAAAATCTCCAGAGACTCTCAAATCTCAGACTGAGGATTCAGTCAAGACCTATTAAATTAAAATATCTTGGGTCAAAGAGTCCTTAGAGAATTAGTATTTTTTTTCATAAAGTATTCCTAAATATTCTGATGCAAAGTTTGGGTTTAATATCATCACTATTCAATGGCCCAAGATCCTTGGGACCCTGAAATGCTAAAAAGAATGAAAAGGTCTGGATGTCTTAATGAATAATTAAGATTTTCTTTTAAATAGATCTTTAATGTGACCAATACATTTTTCATACATACCTCCAATTCAAAATGTGAGAATGAAGGATGAAAAACTAAATGAGAAAGTCTGCTCAAGTCAATAAATAAGTCATGCCTTAGGAAAGTACAACTTCTCACAGTTAATGATAAAAACACAAAAAAGAAAATGAATATTATGAAAAGCACGGGTTTGAGAAACCCACCCATCATTACTCATGTGCCAGAAGGTTTCCATCCGAAGTGGAATTTAAAAGTCACAATAAAATAACAGTGTGTGGCTTATTCTAAAATAGCTGGAAAGAGAAGATTAGGGATGATTTAACAACAAGAAATCATGAATGTTTGGGGCAAAGTATATGCTATTTGCTATGCTACATTCTTCTTTGATCATTACACACTGCATACACATTTTTAAGCAACACACCGCACCCTAAAAATCTGTACAATTTGCCAACTTGAAAAAAGATGTCACAACAACATTATGGAAGTAATCATCCCACTTTTCACTTAGAAGTTTACCCAACTGCTCCGTGTCTCTAAATCTTACTTTTACATGTTAGCAACTAAATCAACACAACCTAATCCAAACAAAAATTTCACATCAAAAACTTCTGACATGAGAAAGGAAACAATAAAAGCATGTAGTTTTAGATGTAAGTTTTAGTTGTAACTATCTACAGACAGATTTGACTTTATGGCTACAAACTCAAATACAAAGATCTTCTTAGAAAATGTTTTTGAAATGACCTTTGTTTAAAAAGTCTACCTTTACTGATATCTTGAGGCTAATGTCCAAAAGAAAGTAAGTTCTTGGTTTGTGGCCAAAGGTCAGCCTGCGACACTGAGAATAGGCAACTATGTGAATATTCATCCCATGGTTCGAGTACAACCATGGTTTAAGTCAAGTTAACTATATTTAAAATGATTCCAGGGCCTGGGCCAACAATAAGCACAAACTCTGCCTTTTTTCTAGTGTACTTACTATGTTCAATGTCATTTGCAGCAAATAACAATATATACAAATTTCTTACAAGAAACATTTGTTTCCATTACTAGTAGTCATTTCCCCCAAGAACCATAGAAATTGGTGTGTAACCTTGTTTTCTCCTAAGTTAAAACAAAGAAAGGCCTTGGTTAACACCCCTTCCCACCCCACCCCCCCGCCCAAGTGTCAAAACCAAGTTCTCATCAATCTGTAGAGATTTTTATACTTTCAACCTAATCGCAAACAATCTACTGGAAAGGTGACTGCACGGCCTTTAAGTTCCTACTAAAGTGTAATAATCCAGACTTTCAAGCCTCTGATACACAATGACTGCTATGTCCTATGACTTAAGAAAGCATTTTGGTGTATTAATTTGTGTTGGTCAATTTATATAGCATCATTTTTTTTATTACCGGTTTCCTCTCCAAATGTCACTATCTCTACATGTCTTTACAATAAAGCATACATTCATTATGGACTACATTGTGAGTAAAGGAAGATCTAAGGCATGTTATTCCCTATTTAAAGGGATCTTCACACTTCTTTCTGCATAGAAAGATATCAATGAAAACATGAAGGCTAACAGAAGTTAGGCAACTAACTTAAGATAATGTTATTAGGAAGTGTTAAACTTTTAGGATCCCCCAGTTTGGGATGGGTTAAGAATGTAATAATGAGAAAACAGCTTCGCATTGTTTTATGTATTTCATTCAGCTCCTATTCCATTAATTTATTTGCTTCTACACTTTAATTAGCATCTCTTAGAGATAGGTTCCTGAGCATTTATCTTGCAAAGGAAGAAATGGCTGATTTTTACACTCAAAGAGTAATTTGAAAGCTGTTTTTACTAGGCAAAGAGAAAAATTTGCCACATTGGCCATTCCAGAATACTGGGTTCAACACTACCCACAGGATCAACAGAGTCAACACAGAACCTTCTGGAATACACAGAAAGCAGCAGACGCTACAATATTTGCCAAAGTAAATGAGAAATAGCTCATTTCTTAATCGATACATAACAAATTACATTATCACAAATATGCAAGCTCAGCCTGGGCAAATATAAACATATATTTTGTCCCTTTAAACTGCATTCTTCCAAATGCCCCCAATTTGAATTAACAGCTCAATTGCGTTTCTATTATTCAACATAAAAACCTAGCCCTCTTTGCCCTCTGACTTCTAAGTCCACATTCACTCAGCTTCCAAGTCACTTTTTAGACTCTTTCATTCTTGGCTTTCTCCTAATTCTGAATGCATTTTCTGGTTTTTCCACACACTTTCCTGAGAGCTTCTATTCTACCTGGAAACAATCCATTGGACACAAGATTCATGATCCCAGAAGAGGCTGCTATTAAAATTCTTGGCACACATATTTTTCATGACTACATTGCCTATAAATTTAACACGTGAAGTCTAGCTCTAGCTAACCTTTCTCTGCAAAATCTTGCATTAATGCCTCAGCAAATTCATCCAATGTTCTGGTTGTATCAAGGTACGCATTGTCTCAAATCGAGTCCCAGGACAGCCCTTCCACAAGCCCCGCCTGACTTGTGAGGCTGGGAGAACCTATCTCCTCTTCTGGGATCATACACGACCCACTTACACCTGTGTGGCCTTCTTCAGAGTTGAAGAAAACCAAACAGCATATTTGTCAAATGTTTCATATCAAATCTTCAGGTATGACAGAATTTAACTTCTTTGAATTTTAGAACTGGATAGCAAATAGGAAAACAAGACTCATTTATCAGTAAGACAGTTTAGACAGAAAGCATTTGTCTTGTGTCCACCAACAGTCTACGCTACCCAGAACACAGATCCATCCACAACAGCAAGGATAAGGTTGAACCAGAGGTCTTACTTTGCAGTAGACTATCATGTTGGGAGAACTCTCCTCTGGGTCAGCAATTCCCACTGCTCTCTGATCCGCAGATCCCTGAGCCATCCTCAGTGTCTTCACTCACTCTGCAGAATAAAAGAATAGAGCAGTCATGAAGGAAGGACATGCAAAGAACTCAGTATCTGGGGCTGGCATGGTGGCCTAGAGGCTAAAGTCCTTGCTTTACATTCCCCGGGATCCCATATGGGCGCTGGTTCTAATCACATCCAACTCCCTGCTTGTGGCCTGGGAAAAGCAGTTGAGGATCCTAGGGACCCAGCACCTGGATGGGAGACCTGGAAGAAGCTCCTGGTTCCTGGGTTCAAATCAGCTCAGCTCTGGCTATTGTGGCCATTTGGGGAGTGAACCAGCAGATGGAAGATCTTTCTGTATCTACTTTTGTAAGTCTGATTTTCCAATTAAAAAAATAAATCTTAAAAAAACTGAGTATCTTTTACCAGATGCCTGGAATCGAAATATATTCTCTTGGTTTTTTTTTGCTCATTCAGAGGCATTAATTAAAAAATATCAGGGGTTATTCATATTATTCTAATCCCAAAGCAATATTTGTTTTTATTTTCAGCACAAATTTAAGCACCTGAGGTGTAAACATACCAGTCTTCACAACATCTCCTGAATAAAGATGATGCCAACATTGATGTGTTGTTGGTCTGAACTGAAGTTCATTTTCTGATTCATTCTGTACATTAAAATACAAATGTACCAGTAGCTAACTGCAAATAAAGACCATTCAGGGCATTACACAGGATGGGTATCCATTGCCCCACATGCTAGAACCAGAACAGCTTTAGATTTTAGATTTTCCCAAATTTGGGATATTTATATATCTAAAATTAGACATCTTAGGCATAGGACCTGTATCTATACACAAAATCCACTTATGTTTCACATATGTGCTATATACCCAAGTTGAAGATAATAGAATAGAGTATTTTACAGTATGTTTCATGAAACAAAGTGTCATGGTGTACAATTTTTTACTTGTGTACCTGAAGTTTCAGATTCGAGTATTTCAGATACTTCTGATTTTTCTTTCTATAATGGATGCTTTACAGTTTAAAAAAAAAAAACAACACATGTTGGCAAGTACATAGGGGAAACTAGAGCTCTCAAACATTACCATAAAAAATATAAAATGGGGGCTTAGCACAATGGCTGAGTGGCTAAATTCTCGCCTTGCATATGCTGAGATCCCAAATAGGTTCCAGTTCATGTTCTGGTGGCTCCACTTCCCTTTCAGCTCCCTGCTTGTGGCTTAAGAAAGCCATGCAGGATGGTCCAAAGCCTTGGGAACCCTGCACCCACATGGGAAACCCAGAGGAATCTCCTAGCTTTGAATTGGCTCAACTCTAGCCATTGCAACCACTTGGGGAGTGAACCAGCAGATGGAAGATATTTTAAACTATATTTCCAATAAAAAAAAAATCTTTTTAAATAAATGTAAATTGGGCTGTCATTGTAGGAAACACTGAAATGGTTCCTTGAAAATTCAACACATAATTACTATATAACCTAGCAATTCTACTTCTAAGTATATACCCAAAAGAACTGAAAACAAATATTCAAATGCTTGCATACAAATGTTCTTAGCAACCACACTGTTTATACAGCAGCACAAAGGTAGTAACAACCCAAATGTCCACCAGTGAGTGAATGGATACGCCTAATGTGGGCCTCCAAACAATATTCAACAGCCATAAAAAGAGCTCAAGTCCTGATCCATAGCACAATGTGGACGAGCCTTGGAAACGCTACACTAAGTCAGAAAGGCCAAACAGAACATCGCTTACTGCGAGTGCATTTATATGAAATACTCAGAATATGTAAATACAAGAGACAGGAAACAGACTGGCAGCTGCCGGCAGCTTTGGACAGCTCGGATTAGGACGACAACTTCATGGATACTTCATCATTCCTTCAGGGATGATGAAAATATTTTCCAACTAAATAGAGTTAACAGTTGCAGCTCATCATCCTGATGTATAAAACTGCTGCCAAGTTATACACTCTAAGAAGGTAATTTTATGTTATGTGAAATTTCACCTTTCTTAAGCTGCCTGCAGTCAATGCGGCCTTTTCATAAGCCTGAAAACTAACAGTGAGAAAACAATAAGCATGTGGAATTTTTGTGTAATGAAGCGAGTTTAATTCTTGGTGTGACACCGCGTTTACTGCATGACCTTGAGCAGATTAAATAACCTCTCAGATTCTCTTAATTTCCCCTGAAAGTGAACACACTGAGCACCTGCTGCACGCTAAGAGCCATGCTGGCACCCCCTCTTCCACCCTGCTCTCAGCAGTGTCAACTCCACAGAAGTCTCACAGCAAAGGGGCGAACAGACTGAATGTGAAAACCAAGTCCCCTACAGATGTGAACACTAGTCTGGAGTATTTGCCCAAAATTCACACGTTCATACGATTTTTTTAAGCCAAAATTTTGTAAATGTCCTACCTGACCGAAAGAAAGGATATCTTTATTAAAAACTCAAGAAATATAAGTTGCTATCAAAGTTCATTTCATAAAAGCAAATTGAATAAAATCCAAATGTCATTTGTGCTAATAATTTAATTGCTCAAAATATCCCCATTTGAATATTTTTGCCTGCTTTATCATTTCAGTCAGGATGTACTTTCAGATTAGATAAAGAGAGCTCCCTTCTGTTTTCTGCACCCGATGTAATACCAGTATTTCTATGAATATAGTACTATATGAAAATACCTATTATTCTCAGAGGCTTTTCAAGTTAAATGGACATCTTACTGTTTCATTTTTAAACAAATACTTATCTGCCTGCTCATTTGCCTTAATGCAGAATATAATAACCAAGCATGAAAAACAAAAATTGAGTCCATTTGCGTATGCTCATCTATCTGTGTAATTCAGCCCTTTTGGGTTTCTATGTTTTATTTTTAAATGAACACTTTCACTTTAATGGGCATATTTGCTTCCATCTAGAAAACTGTTATAATAGCAAGGTTGGAAATGACCTAGAAACAAACGTGTCAGCCCTCTCTTTGTCTTTCCCTGGGCACCTCCTCCATGAACACATGCAGCTCTGTGTGTTCAAACACACTGATTTTCCAGTGTTTGAATATCAACTGCACAATGAATGTGGAAAATGCCCTATGTTGGGAATTTCAGTGAGCCTTGCACTCGGGGGAGGTGGGGGGAATCACATTTGTCTCTTCTACTTTTGGGTCATTGTTTTTAATTTCTGTTTGAGAAGCAGAGAGAAAGCGAGAGAAAGAGCTGAGTACTTGTCTTTCCACAGGACCACTCCCCAGCACTTAGCAAGGTCTCTAGCTAAGGCTGAAGTGGGACCCAGAGACTCACTCCGGGCTTCCCAGTGGGTATGGCAGAAGGCTGGTCACTTGGACCATGACTGCTGCTTCCCAGCACCCTAGCCAGCACCTGACCACCTGTCCCTAGCAACTCTTTTGAAACCCAGACAAGCCTTTTAGTGCTCCCATGCCTAGGAGGAGTCATTTCTGAAGCAGTAACATAGCTACCTACTAGTCTACATGTCAACAAACATTAGAAACTGGAGATGAAATCCATATTGGTAAGGACATTCTCAACAAATACACCGACTCAAGCGAGAGCTCAGGAAGTAAAACTACTAGGTTTTCATTCACTACAATCTGGTGTAAAATATTTCCTTTAAATGCAATCTAGTAGAAATGAATAGGACTGTTTTAAATCTAGAGATAGAACAAAGACAATCTGCATTTTTATTTTATATAACTGTATATGTACAGTTAATAATCCTGGGACCTGTATCATTGGAAGATGGTGGATGTTTTTCTGAAACCAAAGAACGGCATTTCAACAGACAGTGTGAATAATATTATCCTCCTATGATGACTCATGGCTAACAAAAGAAACTAAAATTGTGATAAGACCATGATGCATTTCACCATCCCCAAGAGAAAGCTTCATGGTTACCAGCTGGCCTCTGTCCTCAGACAGATCCACATGTGAAGAGAGGCATACCAGTTCCTAGTCATGTGGTGTGGGGCATGCTGCTTCACCTCTCTGTGCCTGCCTTCCCTTTTATTGTCAATAAGCACAGTCCCAGCACAGCGGGAAGTGCTTTGAACTAGAAAGCCTGGATTCCCCCTCACTGCTCTGCAACTAACAATCTGAACTGTGGAAACCAGGCCAAGCCATGGCTCCTCTGGATACCAGCGTAAGATGAAGCATCCTTGGGGCTCCTTCTGGCCTGAGAACTTCCGTCTCCTGACTCTCCTTCAGAGATGTCCGCCAGTATACCCCATGTCCCCTCTCTCCTGTCCCTATATAGTCTACCTGCAATACCACCACTCACCACTAGGCTCAGAGATCCAACATGGATTCTTGAGATAGCACACCTACCCACTTTCCCAAGGCTTCATACTAGGCTCTGGGGAACAACAGAGACATCAGACCTATATGCTTGTCTTCAAATGTCCAGAGCCTAGCAAAAGAAACAGACCAATCTGAAACAGGGCACTGTCATGGCTGGTATTCAATTCCAATGACTCAGGACAGGAGGAAGGGACCACTGACATGCATATAGCAGAATGAACAGGAGCCTCAGGGAGGCAGAGTTTGTTATTTCAGCCGAGATGCCAGCATGTGCGCATGCACACACACACAAGCATAGACACTGGAAAACTAAGAAATGCTTAAAGGGCAAGCCTTTGGCACAAAAGCTTTAGTTGCCATCTGGGATGCTTGGTTCAAGGGACAGCTCTGCTTCTGATCCAGCTTCCTCGAGAGGCAGCAAGTATTTGGGCCCCAGTTACTCATGTGAGAAACCAGGATGCAGTTTTAGGCTCCTGGCTTCAGCCCTGGCTGTTGCAGGACTTTGCAGAATGAGCCAACCGATGAAGCCTTCCATCTGTCCCACTGTCCGTCTGCCATTCAAATGTAAAGGAAGTCAGCTTTTCAACCAGAAATGATTCAGCCTGGTGCTCAACACTTGCAGAAAAAAAAAAAAAAAAAAACCCCACAAGATGATTCTCTGATCTGTGAGAGATAAACAGGAAAGTCAAGTTTAGAGATAACAGGATTTTTCCCTTA